AGGAATGAAAGCAGACAGACATCACTTGCAAAGCAAGGTGCAGAAAGCAGAAGGTGGGCACTGGGCTGGCAGTGATGAAACATCCTCCCCTTTTCCAGAAAATACCTACTGTACCCTGTGGGGAGAAAGAAGCCCGAGCACAAACAGGGCAGTAAATCTACACAGCGTTTACAAAGTCTAGTTCAGACTATTGCATTCAAAGTATCTGAATGCAACTTCATCCACAGTCTCAAATTCTGGTTTCTAATTTGGTTTATTAATGACATGAGGCAGAACTGTCATCATCTGTTTATAAAGTAGCCAGTGCTCCCAGGAATCCAGACTTATTAGGGACACTGGATATAACTAAGAGTTAAAAAAAAAGAGAAAGAATCTACCAAACCAACTGTTTCCCAACATGATCCACAGTTCAGACCAAATTAAATCCTGCATATGTCTATATTAAATATATTAAATATATATGTATTACACATTTCAGCACAACAGCAGTTGCAGTCATGAAACCAAGTGCTGAATATGACCCACTGTAGTATTTGTTTAATGCACTGAATTCTTTGACCTCATTTCCTGTTTGGCCATGAAAGTTCAAAAGTTAAATCTCTATCGTGATTCTCTGTCATGAATCATTTTTGGTCAGCAGTTTGAAACCCCTTTTGAGTTCTGGGGTGTCCATCAAGAGGTGATTATATGCTCCAAGGAGGGAAGGAGCTTGAGTACGGACAGACAAGGCACAAGGCATTAGAAATATGTGCAAGACCAAGTTAAACAAAGGAGTTAAACACGAGATGCTAATTTAGCAGTTTCGGAAGGGCCGTATTTCTACAGACAACCCAAGACATAAAAAGAAACATTTCCCTAAAAAGCCCTAACCTCACTGTTGTTTTGAGTGTTACATTTATTCAAACACACCACATCCAGCTCCTGATTAACTGCTTTCTCACTCCCAATGCAGGAGGTCTGCAGTGCACTGCAATGTAATTATTTACACAGCACTCTATCATTGCCACTGCTGTCTGTACTTCTAAAGCATCTTCATTACTCTACTGATGAGCACCATGGAAATGCCTTTAAATAAAATAATCATCTCCCCTCATTAAATTACAGCTCATGGATTGAGGAAGGATGATTTTCCTTTGTATGTTCCTTTTGTAAATTTTATCATTTCACAACAGCAGGAGCAACGTGCCTCTGATGACACTCAAAGAGACAGACTGTCAGGATTCTTGTCAGTATTTGAGCTTTGAGCAGCTTGCATTTTTTACATGCATATTTTCTCCTGAAAATAACGTACTGTTTGTCAGAATTAGGCATTCAAGAATCTCTTTCTAATGTCAGAATCAGACATGCAAAAACCTCTAATGTCATGTCAGAAGGCCAGATTTTATGGAGCAGTATGTCATGGAAACCTTAACGGCAAACACTGCACCCACAGCAGAACCTTCTAGCTCTAGCGTCAACACTAAGCACACACATAGGTGGAAAATTTCAAATAAACCTAGATTAAAAAACCAAACATTGAGGGAAACCTTCCAATAAAAAGAAAGTCTTGGTGAACCAGGTTTGCTCTTCAGGAAGCTTCAACAGTAATTGATGCCACAAACCAATACTAAACATGCCATTAGCGTCAAATCAC